TAAATGTTTGAACTGTGACCTCGAAATAATTCGTGACGTATAATATTTTTGATTTGTGACCTCGAAATAATTCGTGACCTATAATATGTTTGAACTGTGACCTCGAAATAATTCGTGACGTATAATATTTTTGATTTTTGACCTCAAAATAATTCGTGACCTATAAAATTTTTGATTTGTGATCTCAAAAATAATCTGTGACCAATTAATTATGTATATGTGACTATTAATTGTATAATTATGACGTCATTATTTTTAATTAATTAAATCATAATAAATTTTAATAAAAATATGATTTTTGATATTCCAAACTTATATTCTTAATTTTGATATAGGGGATACTTATCCTCTTACTTATGAATTTTTCCCATAAGAAAATTAAGCCATTCCCAAATCATCTCGACTGCCGGCGAAACCTCGTGTGACTCCAACTTGAGAGAACATCTATATTTTGGAAAATACTTACTGTATATCATCATTTACAAATTCTTTTATAAATCGATGTGGTGGCGATAAATTGAATTAAAAATTTAAAACTGTCAAAATTTATTCATCACCACTTAAACTGTTGTTCTAATATAATGTGGGTTAATCACGAAAAGAAATTGGAGGAACTTTTTTATTATTTAGTTGATTAGATTTTGACTAGTCAAATCTCATCACATCATAAGTTAAAACAAATCAGTAAATTGTGATGTACATGTAACACAATCATTATATATTTTTTACTTGATTATTTCTTGCAATTCTGAATTGTGAAAATATTATTTTAAGGTTTAGGGTTTTATCTAATACGATGTGCTAAGTATCCAATATTTGCCGCTATAATTGGCTTAGCAGACAAATGTAAATTCAACTTTTGAGTTTGCACGAAAAACCGAAGTAAATAAATAAATTTAATAATTATAGTTCTTGAATTCTCTTTTCAATAAAGTTAAATTAAAATAGTAGTGTTGTTTGATGACAATTGGCCTAATAAATTTTGGTGTCATTTTTAGAAAAAATTGGATAGTTGCGTAGTGAATTTACAGCTCATTTCAACAAGTTTTGACACAGAAATTGAATGCAGCGTGAAACAAAAAGATTCTTACTTTGAAGAGTTAAGCTATTTGTACCACCTCCTTTACCACTTGATTTACAGATGAACGATGTGGTAGATGGATGATGATTGGATTAAATGTGTGAAATGTGAAAGGTGATGTGAGATTTTGCCAAGTGCAAATTAGGTAAACTAAGGTGTAAAGAAAAATATATATGTAGCAAGATTGTACTTTGAATTTACAATATCTACTTTCCAAATCTACCCTCACATGACCTACTCACTCTCCAATTCTAAGCTCACATAGTGATGTCAATGTGGCTTGTCAACTCGGGTCTGCTCGCGGCTCGACCTGAAAAAAACTGGAGTCGAGTCTGCTCGTGGCTCGTTGGGATAGAGCCCCATTTTGGGCGTCAGCTTGAGCTCGAGCCAGCCCATGTGGCTCGTCCCAGCCAATGACGAGCCGAGCCTAAATAAAAAAATGAATTTACAAAAATTTAAAAAAATAAAGCTACTTGCACGGGCGACTTTTATTTATTTTATTTTATTTTTAATTATTGCAACTAAATGATGACTTGCTTTAATATGCTTGAAGAATTGGGAATGTGTGAAATCATATATTCAAGAAAAAGTTGACAGTATAATGATCGAAGAGTTGCAGCAGACACAAAGATAATATATTGTAAGTTTTTAAATTGATTAGTTTTAAAAAATACATAATTTTTAAATTTATTTGTTTTAAGAAAAATTGTGCATAAAATATTTTATTCGTGTGCAATTTTAACTCCGCTTACATTGATTGTAGTCGGTCTCAAGCCCAAAAAAAAGGAAGATTGTTGTAATTTTTATTTAATTTATAATATGTATATATTGCACAAATTTTAAATTCTTTTTAAAAAATTAGATTTATCACGAATTTAATAAAAAAAAAAAGAGCCAACTCAGCTCGCAAAAGCCTGAGCCGAAAGCTCGAATCGAACCTAACTTTTTTGG